TAATATATGAGTAGAATGAAATAAAAAAAATAACAAAAAAATTACCACTTGTAATACAACTAAAATAAAAAAAATGTAAATATTATATAAAAATATTATAAAATAAATTTCTCCACATCATTGTCTTTTGAAATTATTAACATTAGACAAGTATGTAAGTACTTACATTGTAGTGTACGATAGGAAAATTGAGGAGTTAAGTAGGAGTATCCAGTTAACATCAATTATACGGATCGGGTTCAAAATGGATGGCATGGGGATGCCACTGGGAATGTCACCGTCAACAACAACAGGGATGAGGATGCGCCACCGCCACAAGATGATGAGGCACATGACCTTCTTCTGGGGCAGGAACACCGATGTTCTTTCTCTGGCTGGCGTGGCATCAACTCCGACATGTTTGTGCTGACCCTTGTAATTGTTAAAGCGAGAAAATCCCACGTTATATATAAAAATAAAGAATTTATACGTTAAATATAAAGAGTATTATTTTACTTATTATTAATTGATTTTAAATTAAATGTAAACATTACATTAAATCAATATGCATAATTTTCACATGGTATTAAAATCTAAATTCTGTTTTAAAAAACCCCACTTAACAAGATTTGAAGTTGAATACATGGAATTTGCATTTAAGGAACTTGTTAATTCATGTGATATAACTCACATTTATAATGGGTTTGCATGTGAAGAATGTGTTAAGTGAAAAAATTTCATATTTAATTGAGAAATAAGAAATTTGTGGATTAAATATAAAATTAATTACTTCATTTATTATCCATTAATTTTAAATTAATTGCAAATCTTGTGTTAAATTTATATACACAATTTTTACAGTAATCACTTTTTTGTTAGTTTTTTTCCTTGAGTTGCTCAACCATGGCCGCTTCATCAAACCCAGCGCCGCCCATCTGACTGCCGGTCTAATTCAGACCCTGATGCATGCTATGCGGATGGGTCTAGCGTATCTGGTGATGCGCGCTGGCGATCGTGTCCTTCAACGGCGGCGTGCTCTTGGCTGCTGTGGCTGGGCGTGCTCTGGGGTTTCGTTTGTTTGGCAGCAGAGTTTTCAACACATCCAAACAAACGCCCGATCTTCCTCCTTGTGTTTGTTAAGGGTGTGTTTGATTAGGAAACTTTAATTTATTTTCATCCCTTGACTACGAAAGTTGAGGGTTTTATAAATAAAGGGTAATATTAGCATTTTTAACATTAGGTTAATAATTGATACACATTTTTATTAATATTTAGTGGTTCAGAAGTAAAATATTTTTACCTTGAATTTAAATGTAAAAATAATACTTTTTTTTAAAATGAATTATGATAATATATTGAATTACAAGATGCATTTTTATTATTAATTTTTTATCATACATATAAAAGTTAATAATTTGAATAAACTCATTACGAAAAGTTACTAACTTTTTAATATTTTTCCAATTACCATCT